CTATGATTCTATGATTCTAAGGCTGCTGAAAACCCTCACACAAAAGTATGGTTTTCAATACACTTTTGTAACTACCTCTGAATAGAGTTTTCTACTAACATGTGGAATAACTTCTTCATTCTATTTCCTTTATGTTTCCTCAGAGTTTATTCATTTCCTATACAGTCATAGGCCATTGTAAATGTAACCAATAATCATAAATTAAGTTTTTTCTCATTGCTGCTGTGGTAAATAAATCAAGGGAAACTGTGTGATAGAGATCTGAAAAGAACTATGTAGAATGCACCAAAATATTCAGACCAGTACAAATACTGAGAAGGCATAATGTCTTAACCACAGATATGTTTGTATCATTAAATATAAAGAAATGTAATACTGATAGAGAAACAGTTCAGATAACACCTATGAAGAGAAACACCTATAAAGCTCAAGCTGCAATTTTATTTCTATAATTGGATTAACAAATGCCTGTTGATAATTAACACTATATTTCACATAGCAGTCAAACTTGTATTTTTGTTTTCAAAAGAAATTAGAGGCTTAATGAAGCATACCTTGGTTTTCAATAGGTGTAATTGTAATTTTTAACTCAATGTTTAAGTTTACATATATATACTTCAACACCCACCTTTGGGTAATAGGATTCTTCTGTTCAAGTTGCATATTTTTAATAATACATTAGAGGTTTCTTAAAGAGCCTGTGTACCATAGCCATGTCCAGAGCACATCAATACGTTGTCTCTGGGAGAATGCTCAGTGAGGGAAAAAAGACTGCCTGATATCAGATTTTACTTTCTGTTTTGCAGGTGTTTTTGGGAACCACTGTGAACTGAACAGTTATGGATTTGAAGAGTTGTCATATATGGAGTTTCCCAGTATGGATCCAAACAATAATTACATCTATATAAAGTTTGCCACTATAAAAAGTAATGCCTTATTGTTGTATAACTACGATAACCAAACTGGAGAGCGGGCAGAATTTCTGGCCCTGGAAATAGCAGAAGAGAGACTGAGATTCTCCTACAATCTTGGCAGTGGCACATACAAGCTTACCACAACTAAGAAGGTGTCTGATGGACAATTTCACACAGTTATTGCCCGGAGGGCTGGAATGGTAAGAAATGCTAAAATGAGAATTTAAGACAAGTTCAGCCAAGTCATTTTGGCTTCCACATGAACTCAGAAGAACATAAAATTAGTAACATTGTCTTTGCTAGCAGAACCTCCAACTTTGGAAAAAACATCCCTTGTTTCTGTCTTACTACAACTGACTCAAAGACCTATAATGGTTTGTTTAGTATGATGATGATAAAGAATAATTAAAAAAACATGTGCAATGTCCTGTACTCAGAATGTGAAAAATGAGAACCAGGCATAATTAATGAAATAAATTACTAAACATGAATCTAATTTACTGATGCAGATTACAGGAATGATTATCAAGGAAGGCTAATTAACTCTTGTAACTACAAAAAGTCTCAAAATAATTTTTCTCAACATTTGAAAAATAGAAACAAAACCACCTAAAATTCCAGTCATCCCTGACCTCCTTGAACTAGTTCAGAGATTTTACCAATCTCCTAAGACTGGAAGCCTGTTTTTCCTCTGTAGCCAACACAAGCATACGTGTAAAAATTTCAAAGGTGCTACACTAAGAGAGATTTTGGAGGGAAGGAGAGAAGTTACTTTTCCTTTCGTCCCCCAGAAAGCATCTGAAGGGAGGAATTCTGCTAAAAACTGGACTGGGACAACTGGTTGCCATATGCCTGGTACTCTGACCCCTCTTCTGCCTTTGTTTTTTGGGTTGGTTTTTTTTTTTTTCCCCACCAGTAATTTTTTTCTCTTTCTCTTCCTCTATTTTTTAATAATATTTCCAAAGCAGAACTTAAACCAAATGCTCTTTGAGTTCAAGCCAAGCTTTTTGGCTCCACAGTGTTTGAGTTTGAAATAAAACCAAATCTATTTGCCATCCATAATCAGTAGCTATTGCCCAGCAGCTCTCTTCTTAAGCAGAACTGGCCAGCATACGTGGGTTCTCATATTCTTCCCATCTGTGAAATTAAAGTCATGTAAGAATAATATATGGCGGGGGGTCCATGTTTTCTTGTATATATTCCAGGCCAGAAGTGATGTTAGGCAATAAAAGAATAAACCATTCTACCCAGTGTGACTCCCCTTGACTCCTTGCAGAGTTTCCCCATCACAAACTGCTGCAGGAAGGCAGTGTTGCTGAGATACAGCCCCGTATAGAAGGTTTTAAGCTAACTTTAGAGCAAACTCTCTGTTTGGAGTGCTCTGCTGAAGAGCTTCTGGTACGGGGTGAGATGTCCATAGGCACAAATATCCTGAGAGCAGCAGAGGGATGTATTAATTTGTGGTCTGGGTTCTTTGTAGGACCAGGGTTGTCTCCTGACCTTCCTAAACGGTGCTTTTTTCTTCTCTCTTAGAGAGTTTGAGGCTGAAACTGCATTTCAGTTGCATAGTGAAGACCTGATTTCTCAGTTTTTTGGAAGGGGGGATGGTTTATTCTTCAGCTAGATTTGCAAATCTAGTTTGTGTGTTTGTAAGAGTTTTATATCCAAATAAGATGAAGGATAATTGTGATGTTGAGTAATTACTATGTTTTAATGTGCCTTAATATAAAATACTTAATAATTTGCATTGCAGCTTCCAAATGGGAAAACCTAAAAGTGCACCTAAATATTGAAAGGCATCAGGTTCTCATTTTAACAACCAAATTAGTGTGGTATTTCTGTCTCTAAGATTTAAATGGCTGAGTTTAGGAGCACACCTTAAAAATTGCAGCAAATAAATGAAGTACACTTAAGGAAAAAATAGAGCAGGAAAATGTTTTACTTGTAGATATGCCAGAGGGCTAGACGACAAAAGAAGAGATAACATAAAAAGGACTATCTACAGAAAATGTCAGTTATGAATGCTTCAGACTGAGATCAAACATTTAAGACAACTTGTGCCTTTCTGTGATTTTTTTTTTTAATGTTTAAACCTTCTCAGTAATGTCAGCTGTTTACAAACAGTTATGTGAAAAGAATCACCTTTGTCTTAGATATTTCTGCTGCAAGAAAAATGTCTCCCAGGTGTCCAAAACTGTATAAAATAGGCCCCCTTCAGGATTCCAAATCTGTCATTTCCTACAGCACAGTGGGATTTCATCGGAAACTGGTAAAATCATTAAGTTGTCAGTCCTGAGCTATTGCAGAGTGACAGGATAGAAAGTCTCATAATGCAGCAAGGTAACCGCGGAGTAATGCTTAAGTAACAAGCAGGAACATTTGACTAACATCAGAAAATAAATTGTATGAACTCTGGTCCAAGTAAAATATATTCTCAAATATCTAGCCCTTCAGCTGGGGTTGTAGCTTGGCTTTCACTGCACATAGCAATGTAAGTGAGGGAGATTACGCTGATTGACCCAAGAACAAAAAACTGATTTCATTTTTTGTTGTTGATATTCTGAAAGAAAATACGTATGCGTGTGATGGCATACAGACCAGCCAGCTTATTATTCTTTCTATGAATTGTTTCATTTATACAGGTCTATAATCTGCTTTGGAACTGTAGACTG